ATATTCTATATATATATTACATTTATTATATACTAAAGAACTACACAGCCCATCTAAACACCTGGCCAATTCACACTTTTTTTTTTCTTTAAAATTTTATTTGTTCCTTCTATTAATTATTCTTTATGGCATGTTGACCTTTAAGTACAGACTCAAGAGTTTGCAAACTTGCATTTCACCTCACATTAAAAAAAAAAACACCTTTGAATCCTGAATCGTATTTAAACAATGTTTTTTTTGATTATACTTCTTCCCCTGGCATTGCTTAAACCCCTAAAAACTCATCTCTGATCATCAGAATTACATCTTGTCATGAGAAAGTCTTTATTAGGTCATAAAATATGCAGGCATAGCCAAAAGTAACACCTGTGCAAAATTATTCTTAACACCACACTCCATAAATAATATGAGCTCATTTTCTGACGGAACCTCGTTTGTCTGGCAGTCGGCTTTTTACAAGATCGCAGTTTCACAGGAACGGGAGAGGCTGTGGAAAGTCTAATGGCTGTTATCCTGTGATACAGTGAAGAAAATGGATCAGTGAGTCTGCACTCATCCATTTGTGTGTAGTTCCCACTACATGTAAGGGTCACGTTACCACTTAGTGATGTGTGTAACAGCTTTCGTTTCAGGTCACGTGAACTATTGTTTGTAACAGAAGGTCGATAGTCTGACCCTTATATTCGATTACCTTAATGTAAACATTGTGTCTCATTATTGTAATGTATTCTAATATAGTTATAATGAGTTTCTTTTTTATGATGTTGAATGCTAAGTTAAACTTTAAAGATATGATTGACTTAATTTTATACCTTTCTATCAGACAACAAATCAAATCTGCTTCTCTTATCAACTCTATCAGTGCCACTTAGTAACAACAACACTAGTTCCTGCACTGAAAGTTAAAACCTTTAATAACCAGCCACAACTATGGATTTAAATTTCTTGTAAAAAGTATCAGTAATTTTCGAAAGCAGCTGATCACTAGTTTTTTTTTTTTTTACCAAACATTGCACAAGCAGGGATGAAAAGTGTTTGGTTTAGGGACTATTTTTCTTTGTGGATTTATACACACTTGCCATGTTAGTGAATTTAAAGCAAAACAGTGTTTATAATGAGCTACAACGCCCATGTTAATGGTGATGAAGAAACATGTGACTGACTGCAACGCTGTGGCTTGATAATGCTCATTTAGTAGTTTTAGTAGTCTCTTCCTTACACTTCTATTCCTTTGTTTTTGGTTTAAAGGGTCAAAAAAGAAAGCAACATGCACACATAGTATATAAAGAGAGTTATTCTATATGTGTTATATATTATCAATATGTAACTTCATGCGCACTACATCAGTTTGCGGAGGAATCCAAAACTTGTGGGCTGTGATTGGGCAGTTGGGACAAGAGCTGTACCAAATTAAGGGTTTTTCTTTTCATTTCATGGGATTTGTTGATAGCAGCAGCGTTATTATTAAGGTCACACTAATGTCTGAGCTTGATAAATCTCCACACTAGGAAGCAATTTGTGTTAAACTGAAGCATTCATCTGTAAACAGAAGAGGTGGTCTACGACACCACTTATCAGGTACTTATAATGCAGTCCTGAGACCACCATTAACACCTTGAGTCATGCCTCGCCTGGTGGTTTCACCATTTGCACCTCGAGCCATGTGAGTCATGCGTTGTCAACGAGCCAAAAGCCATGTGATTTACAAGTGAAAGTAAATACCTGGGACTCCACCATTCAAGTTAAAACTGAGGAAGCCTCTTGGATGAGAGGTAAAATAACAAATATTCAGATTCTAAACACATCTGATGCAGAGACATTTCTCAACAATATTAAAATATTCAGTTCTAATCAGACTGAATAAGCCATAATCACACTGCTAGGTCAACCCATGAGCGTTCAGATAGTTAACACATGAGTTTCCATTCTCCAGAGTCAGATAAAGCATCATATAAATATCTGAATGGCAAAGTGCTTTCTCTTAAGGTCACCCTTATCTGCATGAAGACTTTGTGAAGGCTCTGTCTCTGAGTCTACCTTAAAATGTGAAGTGAGGTGCACTTTTGGATTTGTCCTGCGAGCAGCAAATTACACATCACTCCTGGAAACAAAACATCTGGACAACAAAAGGCTCGTAGGAGTTTAAAGTGAGGCAGCTGTGAGGGAGCGCAACAGACGAACTGATCTCTTCAACATGAATCCTGCTCTGGTGGTGTTGGCGTTGTCACTGCTGGCCACAGTGGCAGCTCAGTCTCATGACCATTATGACATGGAATGGGTCAACGGCTACCGGCAGGGCTTCAACTTCCAGTGTCCCCACGGTGAGGTCCTGGTGGCCATCAGGAGCTACTTCAGTGAACAAGACGGCTCGGACCGGCTGTGGACGTTTGAGTGTCAGCCCACACCTGAGGGTCTGGGGGAGCCCAGTGACTGCTGGTGGGACGACATCAACCGTGCTGGGATGGAGTGGTGGGTCTTCTGTTTTAAATCAGGTTTTTGCTCACTGGTTACCACCTGTTCTCTAATTTATCTGGCTTTTACAGCTGTGAGCTGGTCTATGTTGGCAGACAGTCTTATCCTTTCAGGGTTTACAGTGAAATCAGGGAGTGTGTGGCTTGCATCTATAGAAATGAGGGTGTATTTGAAGTTTAAACACTGTTTGAAAATTGTTTCATTTAATTGATGTCAAGTCTGTTATACAGAGGTGCACTGAGCTGTTGCTGTAGGTTTTTCTCCAGTTTATAATCTTGACGGTGTCACACTAATTGTATTGGCTAACACGGAAAAAACCTGCCACGGTATAGATAAATTATGCAAAATGATGTAATACCACAGTAAATTGGAAACAAACTGAAAGGAGAAACATAAATCAGTCATCTGGGCACATCTGAAGCAGATTACAAGCATACAGAAGAATATCTGTGAACATTTTTCAGTGCAAATTCTTTTATACTCTGCACAGCAGCTGTGAACACGTTTAGATTTGCTTCTTTCATGCAATAAATTTGAAAAACAAAACAAAACCCAAAAACAAAAAACATTTTGGCTAAAATAAGATTCTCAGGAAATTCATTGCAGATAAATCTGCAATCAATCCACATAGCCACGTAGGAAGCACATGATCCATTTATGAGTTATTGTTCCAATCAACAGGAGGAGAAGCAGATTGCAGAGTTATGCCCCTTCACACTGGGATGTACTTTGACCGACACTTACTCTTAAAGGTCACTATTAGTGGACAACAAAAGCCCATACAAGGCTTATGTGGACGTTGCTGCTGAAGTGTTGTATGAACAAAACCACCCGTGCTGTGGGTGGGGGGTGACGTACACACAGATGGAAGATCTCCTGACTTCACCCACAGAAGGATGTCTTTGGTCATTTAAAGACCAGGCTGCAGCAAAGCTCAGAGTTAGTCAGACCACTATATAAAATACTGTATAATTAAACGTGGTGTAAACTAAGATTTTAAAGAGCTCATATTTTGCACATTTACAGATTTCAAATTTTATTTTGGGAGTCTACTTGAATATGTTTACTTGCTTTAATGTTTAAAATACACATGATTTCCCTCATACTGGACATTGCTGTAGCACCTTTTCTCAACCTCTAAAACGCTCTGTTTTAGCTCCTGTTTCTTTAACCCTTTCTTCCTGTCTGCTTTGATTGGTCAGCTGGTCTGACAAAAGTGACGTAATGTTGGTTTAATTACTGTAACTGTAAACCATACTGTATAATGAATGAATGAATGAAATGAAATGAAAGAAATGAATGAAAAATACTTTATTTATCCCAGAAGGGAAATTCAATTAAATAAAGATGCAGCTCTAGAATTAGCTCCAGTGAGGACAAGATTTTAAGGACTTTGATGAACAAACTAGGTGGTAGGCAAGTTTTATGTAAATGTATTACATGGTGACGTAGATATGATCGGATATTTAAATTTTTTTCAGTTGAATACCACAACTGACCGCTGGGACACAACTGGCAACAAGGCTGAGCGGTGGCCAGCTGTCATACGTCTATGAATATTTTCCACTCGTTCTACACTATTTGATTACTAGTATTACTGGACACCTATGTAGAGGAAAGTTTTATGGGTAACCATAGAGTGTGTGAGTTTGTTAAGACTTGAAATGATGTTAAAAATAAGAAGGAACACGATTGTGACAACACATGCTGGTTGGAAACAACATATCGCCTTGTGAATTTGGACTTGCAGTTGGATTAGCTGCTCATTGATCAGTCCCAGTTAGTGGCATTACAGTGTTTCTACATTTTAGCAAACTACCAATAGCAAGAATAGCCATGAAGTTCTGTAAATTCTACATGGGCGTTTGAATGAAAATGCAAACAACTTTAAGTAATAACTAAGACATTTTCTAGTAGATTTCCTCCCCCTAACATCACCACTACTTGTTTTGTGTACATTTTGTGAAGGAGCCAACACGAACACTTCCCAGTTCTCTGCACATCGTACTGACCTGCACATCAAAAAAGCAAACTACTTGATTCAGCTCTTGTCAGACATAAATGTGTTGAAGTATGAAAGAAGCCAGCGCATACACACATCCATTTACAGTTATGCTAGCTTGCCTACGTGCAGCACATAGAAGTTATTGTGGCTTAACATTGAAACATGTATTTGTCCACGTATGCATTAATAAAACAGGTTTATTTGATGCAGGCAACCATTTTTAATAAACTGCCCCATCAAATAAATAAATAATGAAGGTCATTTTTGAAGTTTTACTGTTATGCATAACTAATTGCTTGGAGTCGCTACAAATTTCTGCTTTGTTCTTAAACATTTATTTGTTACAAACGTGACTTAAATTCATAATGGTGCAAGTAACACTAGCTTGAAGCAAATTTGTAGTTTCTAAGACCTATAAAGACTCCCATAATGACAGCCTGCAAACCTTCGTCTCAGACTTTCCACATGTGCATCTTTTGTTACTTTCATGAATTTTGAGTTCTGTCCACTGTTTTCTCATTCAGAGGAACAAAGCCAGGTCCTCCTGCGCCTGCATGAATCACAGTCCCTCTCCACAACAGAGTCTTCGGCTGTCAGTTCCTGGGAACACGACTAACCTCAGTGAATTTTAACAAGCTTCACAAAGCAGGAAAACACATTGTATTTTGTAGGCCACAAGTTAGAACATTTTCCTGAAGTTTTGCAACATGCCATTCACAAAAACTGGATTGTAAAAACAGTTAAAAACAACAGTAATCCACAACAGGCTCAGCCAGGACTCATGAATCCACTGATGAAAAAGAAGAAAAAGAAGAAAAAGTGTGTTTGTGCTTGTCTTTATTTTCCTTCTTTTGACTTATAGTTTTATCTCATTCCAAATGCCACAACCTCACAAGAGCACGTTTGACTTAACCATAAGCTTCACCGAAAGGTTGATCTAATTAAAGGACTTGGATCAACCTTCAAAAAACCGGTTAGCAGGAAGAATTGCGGCTTCACATGTTTTTGTAAACAGCAGTTTGATTCATACACCTAAACCCACCACTGACTCTGATATATCGGTTTCAGAGGACTTTTTCTTCTCTGCAGATTTATTTCAAGTTGAGCTTGGCTGCACCCAGCCCACTAATTCGATGGCAAACACTGAATGCTCTTTATCACAGCCACGCCTGCCTCTCTTTAACATAGCTGTCTGTTTGAATTACACTGGCTAGGACATTACCCTGCAGGGAAACTACCCCCATTGGCTGAATGGCTGAAGGCTGTGTCCATGTTGCCATGACAAACGTCTACACATGCTGCATCCCCTGCTGCTTGGACCTGGTATTCTTGGACTGTTGTGGTGACAGTGAAGTGTATGGGCCATAAACAAAAGGCACCATTAACCAACTTGTATTTACAACAAACAAAACATTCATATTTGGTTATCTAAACAGTTTTTCAATGTTTCACCTTGTAAACTTCATGTTTGTATTAAGAGAAATTTGAAGCACATGTACATGCCCTAATGACTCTTATGTGTCTTTACAGGACTTCAACATGCACCCGCAATGGACTGGTAGCCGGTGTTCAGAGCAAGTACTTTGAGTCCGTTCTTGACCGTGAATGGCAGTTCTACTGCTGCTACTACAAACGTCGCTGTCCCTACTCCTGCATGTATGTTCTCACACTGCTATGGACATATTAAATGAGTTGTTTGTCTTTTTGGGAAATATTTACTATGTTGCTGAGCCTGAGATGGTTAAAAAAAAAAAAAAAAACTCCCATATTTGTTGGTTACAGCCAGTAGATGGTTAGCTTAGCTTAACACAAAGACTTGAAATGGAAAACAGCTGGCCTACCGCTCAGCACCTGAAAAGCTCACTGATTTATACAATTTTAGCTGTTAATAAATACAAATGAGTAAAGGCCAATTAGTGCTTTCCATGTCCGCAAGGTGCGAGGTACGCACTGTGCTCATTTTGTTATCAACCCAAGTCTACAAGGGTCCCCATACACAAATCTACAGACAAAAGACAAAAGTGTGATGGACCATCTGAACTGCACTGACTTTACTTGTGCGGTAAAAAAAGAAAGAAAAAAAAAGTTCCTAAAACAAATTCTTGTTATGAATAGAGACTGTATGAGGAGATTCTTGGCTTCATAAAAGTAGCTGAACTAGTTACTGCTGGGCTTCAGAAGTGCTTTGGTTTGTATATGCTTTCCATCAACGGCACCCAGGCAAAGTGAGAAGTTCTAAGTGTTCGAGAATGTTCTCCGCTTTAAAAGTCTTCATTTGTCATGCCTAAACCATGAATTAACTTTAAAAATGACAACCTCTGGATTTCATTCAAATTATGTGCCAGACTATTGAGCAGAGACTCCAGGAAGTCATTGGCCTCATTCAAGAAACTATCCTACAGCCATCTGTGAAACTTGGATGTTTTCATGTGGAGACTGTATGTAAAGGTTGGATGTAGCTACTGTGAGAAACCCATTGGTTTGTTGATCATTTTGAGGCATCACGTTTGAACCTCAGTCAATCAACAGGTGGCATTGTATACCACCATAGTATACCCTCATTAATACTCTAAATGGGACTTTAATTTACGTTAACATCATGCTGTGCTGAAGAAGACTTAAAACCATGGACTGCATAAAAGATGGACGTAGCTACTGTGACGTCACCTGTTGGTTTCAAAAAACCTGCAAAAAAAAAAAAACCTGCACTGAGAAAATGAAGCCAGGGTTTTGTTACTTCCTGGTTGACATCTTGGATTTTTGGAGCCAGTGACACAAAAATGGTCGGAGGGGGGCGGAGCCATAGGAGCAGCGATTGGTCAGACAGATTGAGAGGCAGGCCCTCTCTGCCCGCCCACATTTACCGCCTTCTGCTCGCTCTGTCTGCAATGTCGCTCCCGACTGTCAATCAAGCCAGCCACGCCCCTTGCCCCGCAAAATATTGACGATTTTTTTAAAAATTCAGTATTGATTTATTTTCAGATTGGCCACCTGATCTCTGGATTTGACTATGAAAACTAATACGAAAAAAATACTGAGCTGTAGGAATGCAGTATTTCGTGATCTGTGATCACTTCTTTTCCAATTCATTTTTATGGGAGCCAGAGCGTTTTGGAGCCAGCAACCAGTGGACGTAGTGATATTGCAGGTTTTTGACACTTCTGGGTTGGCTTCATTTTTCAGGGCCAGTTGCTACGTCCTTCTTTTATACAGTCTATGCTTGAAACTAGCAATGGGGACCATAAACTCATTAGGAAAATGTGTACTGAGGTAACAGATCAAGATTGAATTTGGGTCATTTACTATAGATTATTGTACAATCGGGCTTCTTTTTTTAATCGAAGGAGTCGCCCCCTGCTGGCCATCAGAAAGAATAGTCAAGAGTTGTCTTGATTATCCTATGTCCATTCTTTAGTCTATTGAATAAACATGTGGGATATGAGCTGCTGGTAGAACTCAGCTGTTTGCTCCAGTGTTCAGTTTTTGGCTGTGCTTCATATTTATTTGCCAGACAAGAAAGTGAAATCTTTCTTCTAACTTTCCACAAAAAAAGGAGTAGTGCATTTCCCAAAACTATCTTCATTAAAGATGTATAAATAATGCTTTACTTACTTACACAGTACAAAGAAACACAAAAATAAACAAAACATTTGCCACTTTCCACAGGAAAACCAGTGACATTCCTGAACACTACAGAGAAGAGGGCGAGCTGGTTGTCCCCACTTACGGCTACTTCATCCGAGGTGCCCAGACCACCTTCAGTGGAGTGCTAAGGTTTGTCCAAAACAGATGCTTTTTCTCTTCCCAAATAATTTCTGATCCCATGTGGCTGCAGACCCAAAATCTATCCAAAAATATTTTGTGAGGCCTGTGAGACCAGAATTTATTGGCAGAACAAACTAGCTGAACAAACAATGAAACTTTAGTAATTTATGATTGTTGAACTGACTGATTTTTCCTGCGCTTTGTTTCAGAGATCGGCAGTGGAAGTACATCCTGTGCAGAATGACAGACTTTGACTGTGAATTTGACAATTTGTAGATCCGTAGGGAACATTTTACTGATGCATAAACAGATTTATTACATATTCACTCTTTCATATAAGCAGAAATACAACACTGATATTATACTTAACTGATATGTTCATGTTTTCATTCATGTATTTGCTTTTGATAAACAGACAACCACAGGCACATGACAGATGCCTGTATAATCACTGTTTTTATTAGTCTAGCATGCAGAATGGCTCATATCATATAAAGATAACTGTTAAACAAGCATCTACATAATGGATCTGCCAGGGATTTGGGCTCCACCGGGCAGTTTGGACAACTTCAAGCATTTTCATTTAGTTGAGAAGAACTGGAAGTCTACTGGCAGCAAGTCAAAGTGGTTTTCCAAAACAAACTCAATTATTTGACGCTGTGTTTACAGCGGTGAAAAAACACAGCGTGTCAGCGCCTGCTCCAAGATCTCTGAGCTTCACTGAGCTGATTGATTGGGATATTCTCTTGGTAGTAAGCCTTCGTGTTGGGTCTCATGAGAAGCTCTTTCTGAGTCGCGGGCAACACCAGCTTTGCATGCAATGAAGTGTGTCCCACCAGCTTTCAGATGACGTCACATCCATTCGTGATTGAAGTGTCTTGTTCAGTTTGGCAATTACATACTGTATGTCTACTCATGTAACTGTACTGTGTGACAATTAAAAAATCATTTATTTAATATAAAACAATGTTGTGTTCACTTTTTGGCATGATAACAAGATACATAATGTTTGAAAATGAAAATAAAAATATTCATTGAAATCTTGTGTGCATTATAATTGACACACAATGATAATATCTCAGAAAATGTTGTGGGAGAAAGGATAATGTAGCCATGTGAGAGTATAAGCCTTCCAAAGAAGATGAACTCAGCCATGACGATATCAACAGCTCCTTTGGGCTTAACTTGGCTGATGCGACGCTCAACACTACATGATATTGCCATAACACAAAGCTCAGAGAAAGATTGTGTTTGTGTGCTCACATGCTGCTTGGAAAGGTCTGACATCAAAGATTACCATATCAACAGCTCATCATTGCTGTGAAGAGATTGTACGCCAAATATGAAAACATTCAGGAAAAATGTGAACAAATACATCTCATGCAACTTAAAACACTTGATTAGACATTTTGGAAAGTACAGTTTCCTGCTGATGGCTGGAGGAGAAGATTGACTCGAATATTTGTTTGTTCAATATGAGATTAAAGCTGCAGTAGGTAGCTTAGTCTAGTTTCTAACCAAGACTATCCATCCATTATCTATACACCGCTTAATCCTCACTAGTCTAACCAAGACTAGAAACATGAAAAAAAAAAAGCAACACCAAATCTCACTCTCTACTCTCACAGACTTTGAGACAGGTTCCTCTTGAAGGCCTGGCTCTGTCAAATCATCAAATGTACCAGGAGGCTTTCACAGACATTTTGAGTCCTTTATACACACTTATTACCTTCACTTGATAGTGTTGTGATGTTAAACACTGGGTTAGAACTGAGTTAGAGGTCTGTACTACGATGCAAGATTAATGGGTTTGTGAGGCATGCTGAGTCAGAGGTTTCAGTGTCACAAAGGCCTGCTGTCTTTTAACCTGCTAGATCACCATAGCAACTTATGCTGCACAGCTAACCTACTTTAAACCAGCTGTAAGAATCACTTCCTGACCACTCTTGATTGGCGATATCGATTACCAGCTGAGGGAACACATATCTGCGAACCTGTTGAGCTGTACATTAGTAGTGCCACAGAATGAAACAAGGCAGTCACAGCAGGCAAACTGTTGGGATCATGTTGCCACGACAACCCACAGAAGATGCCTAAATATGTTTTTGTATTCGGTCCTGATTTGCTGTAAAGTCCAGTTAATAAAACTGATTACACAGTTGTGGTATTTAACACAGAGAATGTCAAAATTAATTCTACCTTTAGTTTGGCCAACATCTAAAGTAGCTTTCATTGTGGGATGTTGTTAGAATATGTTAACACTTCTTGAGTACCAGTGTTGAGGTTTAGGAGCGCTAATGAGCAGGTGTCACACTAGAAATAGGCCACTTAATTGACAAAATTGCAAGATTTTATTCATTTTTCATCCAGAGCAGCAAAGGCAGAATGAATAGCAACAAAGTTTGGGATGAGAGCAGGATGTGTTGGTGCAATGGGTTAAATGTTTAAAACTTAAGACTTTGGAGACTGGGGTTTAAACTTTACATTTTAGTGTCACTGTCTGCGCACGTTTGTGATGCATGCGTGTGCCGAGTGAATAGTTTGGCTTTGACGAAAATAAAAAGTCCCAAATCAACGTAGAATGAAACCTACAGTACACTGGTGTCATCAAGGTTATCTGATATGTGCCGCAGTGCTGTCTCATTCCTAAACAACCCTTCGAGCTCTCACAGCCTCTCGCACTCAACCAATTACCAGGTGGCATCAATAAGGTCTGTAAAGATTCAGTGCTCAGGGTGACGATTGGGTTTGAGTCTGGGTCTGTCTGAAAGTAAGAAAATCTGCCCTCTAGCAGCTGGAAAGTCCAGTAAGTAACACCTTTCTTCTATAGAAACCTGAAACACAAAATGCTGTTCAGAGGAGGAAGGTTGCCAGAATCTTGGTCAGGGTGAACTGCCTGACCTTCAGACAGAACTCAGCTAGATGTATGTCACTGTTTGCAGCCTTTACCTAAGCTAACTGCCTGTTGACTGCAGCCTCATATTGGCATATGACAGACACATGTGGTATTGATATAGTGAGAGTGACCCACTGGTAAATTCCACCAAAAATTACAAAAAAAAAGTCAAATATTGATGATGACTAATCACACTAACTACAGATGCATGAAAAGCACGTTTACTAGTTAATTTTTGACTTTGATATCAGTTCAAGCTTATTGGCTTTTTCAGAGCTTTCAGCCACATCATTACATATAACACCGTGAAATTTAGTTGATGTTTTACTTGTAGCACAGATGAGAGCTCCTACAACTGCAATGAATGAACACATTTACAATGTTTACATGTCTGCTTTCTTGCCCTCAAATGGCATATAACTTTTATACTGTGCAGCTAAGAGTTCAGGTAGCAAAACTTTCTCAACTTTCCGACCTAATAAGCCAACTTTTCTTTGAGCTTTGAGTTAAATCTTTTTCCCCCCCAAAAAGTAGTACCATGTGAATTCAGGGTAGGTAGTGACAGAACAAATATTGGCAAATAAAGTGCCTACCAGTCACTTTGTGCTCATTCTCTCCACTTGTTTTGGATTTTCATTGCCACCTCCACTTTCCAAATCTATTCAAACCTAATGGAGTGAGCTGGTTGAAGGTCAGCGGGCTGCTGCACGGTCTTGAAAAGAGCTGGGGACCGGGCCAGTAGCTTTCAGCACTGTTTGTTTATGGCAGCTGCTGTCTCGGGGCAGGAGGCCAAACGCCGCAGCGTCACACAGCTGTCCCCTGAGCCAGCGGCCGGTGGCGAGCCACGAGCCTGCAGCATTCTCCTGCCCTCAGAGACCACTGTCCCTGTGGTGGAGGCCTCCTTCCTGAGCTGGAGATATATTGTCCCGCTCCGTCCTCTCCTACCTCCAACACGTTTTCATTACAGCCAGATGAAAAACGATCCTTTCAAAACTACACTCACACTGACTGTAATTAGAGTTCGTAGGAGGAGCCACAGAGCTATTAAAGTCTGCAATCACTTTTGGAATCTGTAGTTAGCCACCATATAATCAAGAGCTAAGTATACATTTACAGCAGCAAAGCACCATCGCAATGATGGATTAAAGTTCTGATGGAAATCTGCTCCTGTTTAGAACAGAATGTCTTGACTATTAATGCTTAAAAAGCTCGTAATGGATGCATACTTTATGACACTGCTTAATCAATGCACTTGTAGCTGTGAATCTAGATTCAGATGCCATGTGTAACATGTAAAGGTTCACATGAAAGGACAATATATCAAAAATAGAAGCAATCAACTAATGGTCAGTGTCACTTGATGAAAAAAAAAGAGCTCCTCTGAAATAGGCTAACATGGCAACATGCTAACATGGTCACAGCGTCAAAGCTAACATGCTGATGTAAGCAGGTGTCCAGAGGCACGAAAACAAAATGCGACTGTGGCTAGTGCATATTCTGTAAATAAAAAATGAATGTAGCTGCTGTGACGCCATCCATTCCTTTGTGAAGCTGTATTCCGAAGCCTTCAGGTTGGAATTTGGCCATGGCCACGCTGGCCTTTTGAAACCAGGCATAAAGAGTGAGGGATGGATCCAAATGAGAACTCAATGCCGCTAAGCTCACCCATACAGTAGTGACTGGTCAATCACACCGCAGCCCTGCCCTAAAATATACCCTGCTTTACTGTCTATTTTACTCTCAGTGGGGTCGTAATTTACTAAATGAACATCAAGCTCATTTAAAGGATGCTTCAAACTACTGATTGAGACTACACACTCATAAGTAAAATGTTCACTGAGCGAAGAGATTAAGTGAGAAGTTGGGTTATTTTCTCACATGCTTGAACTTGTTTTTGAAACCAGAGGAGTCGCCCCCTGCTAGCTGTTAGTAAGGATGCAGGTTTAAAGCCTTGTAGCATTTACTCTTGAAACAAAGTATCGTACATTGCCATTTTAGTTACTAAACATATGTATTGAGAATTTCATAAATGTAAGCAAGCAGAAGTTATTGTGGCAGCTGGGCTACTTGAAGTCACCAGACTCTGGATGTAAATGGTCACATTGCAACACTCATATCTGTGAGATTTTGGCTTCATTTTTTACAGTGGAAAGAAGTACTGACGCCTCTTCTATCTTTATGTAGAGTCACCTGATTTGGATATAATCATCCCATTCAGGAGGTCTTCTCATTGTGGATGTTTCCTATACATTTGGGCCAATAGGAATCTTTTCCATCTTCTAGTGGGCTCAGTGGCTGTCTCCTACAGCTATCACCTCATTTAAAGGTGGTGTAGCTGTAATTTAGCACACAGACAGCCAGAAGTCTTCATTTGGAGGTTCGGGGGGTGGTGGTGGTAGACTCAGTGGACTTTCATTCGGGAGACTTGCATTAAAGTCTCATCTCAGACCATAATTATAGCATTATTCTTTGATTTAAGTCCCATTTTGACTTTGGCTTTCACTTGCTGTTTTTCAGCTGGTGTTTGGTTAAGTTTAGGCATGAAAACGACTTGGCTAGGTTTTGAAAAGCATCATGGTTTTGGGTTAAAATACACCCTGTCACTCAGTTTACCACATGTTACAAAGCTCTGTTTTGTCGGGTGTATGTAAAATCAGTCTGGATCAAAGTGGTGAACCCACAAGCCGATGTATCCACCTCTAGACCAATGTTAATTAAAAGTTCTAAGTAAATCAATAAATTATTTTGTATAAGTGCGCAATAGGGATAGTTACAGAGCTGGTGGTTGTCCGAATATGCCACAAAACATCCACACTGCAGCTGATGAGATGAAGAAAAGCACTTGTATCAATTATAGGACTTGAAAATGATCGACTCCAAGGACACTTCTCTCATCAAACACCAATCATTTCTGAACAAAGAAAAAGAGCATGTGATGATTTTGTACTCGCAGTGAATCCCAGAGCACCCTTGTCTCTGGCTCAGCTATTGCTTGACTTCATTAGCTGTGATCCAGTCAGGCTTTTGTGCTGCCAGAGCTATGAACGAGACAAATAACAGCGTCTCAGAATACCAAGCTACCGCAGTCATGCCTCAAATCCTTTTTAAAATTAATTTTAGTCTTTCTAAACAGGTTTGCTGGAG